TATGGGCTAGTTTCTTTTATGGAACATTCTAGATAGTATCTGAAGGGAAAGCATCCACAGCTTGTGTGAAGGAAAACAAATTCCCTAAAACTAATTGCTAAATTTCACATCTTTCCAACTCCATCCTTTATACTGGCCCAGGCACTTTAATGAAAACTGGCTAAGCAAGCCCATTTATCACACAGGCAGCTGGTGCACTCTGAAGACAAGAATCTTAGGACTAACACATTAGGTGATAGAAGAAGGGGGAAATGATATCAAACCCAAAGTGCTGAGATTAGTCAGCTAATGAGTCAAAGCCTGCTCAGTGTGGCATTTAAACTGTTTCCCTGCAAGCTCATACTCTGTTTTTGCCATGCCATATGCAATTTTCTAATTAATACCAGAGAGCTGCCTGGTTTTCTCAGGAGAATTCTAGGGGGATTCTCTGATTACTCACTGTACCTCCTTTCTCTTGCCTCTTCATAGTGTTTGACCCAGGAACACTAGACAGATCAAGAAAGACAACACGTTGGAAAACATGGCTGTTCTAATTGAGAATTCGTACCTGTTTAGCATTTTCAGATTTTAGTAGGTTTCCATTTGTATGAAAACAACAGGCCAGTGATTAATCACAGCAGGTTTTTCAAACACTACAACTGTGCTATCAAGCACTGGAACAGATTCTTACCTAAGCTTGATGAGAAAATACATCCTGCACCTGTGGAAATGGATGCACTTGAACTTGACATGCTTAGCTATGCTGGAGCTGCTCATGCTGGCAAGTGAGACCTGCATCTCTCTCTCTTCCAAAGTGTCTTCATTGGCTTAAGCCAGGGGCTTCAACCAGCCATGGCAAGGATATTATGCCACTGGTACACCCCATAAACAGGACTGCTTGTCATAAGAAAGTAAATATATTTATTCTTATCACTGCTGCAAGAGGAAAGCATCACAGTTTTTTCTCCCAAGATCTTGTAAAAATCATGTCCTATTTAGTATGACATCTCTAAGACACTCCAGGAAAACAAATCCTGGGCTCACAGGGTCTTCCTCATGGCCTCAGAATAGGAGTCTTGTGTAGGCATCAGGTTATTGTGTAAATCAAATGCTGATTTCTATAACTACCATATCTGGTTGTAATCCTTGAGAATCTCCTGCCTCAATGTTGGGTAAAAACTGCTCCCCAGTTGTCCCCTTACATGCCAATAAAGCAGCTTATGGCCAGTTGCTGACCAGCCAAGAGAATAGGCTTAGACTTCCTGACAGCCAGTGGAGGAGGAAGTAGGGGATAGAGTCACAGGAGAGATCCGGGGGACATCAGAAGAAGGAGCTAGAGGAAGAAAGCGACAAAATGCAAGTATCGCTCGGATGTACACTGGGAGGAAACCAAATTAGCACAGAAGGTTAAGAATAGACTAATAACTGCTCAGTTATTGTGTTATAAAACTTATTATTAAGCAAATATAAAAGAGTCTCAATTATTTGTGTTATGGCTGTGTTACGAGAGAAATTAAACTGAGAAACAAACAGAGTTTTATAAAAATAACTGTGACAGTCCTGAGTGAACTTATCTTTCCTTTTCAAAATATCTTGGAGGCTACTCACTCTGAACTCAAAGCTCCAACAAGGAGAGAAAAGACTTTTCTACCCTTGGCATTTCGTACGAGAAGTTTAATATTCATACATAGCTACTTTAAAATCTGGCATGTGATAAATAAGAATCATCACTATTGTACAATCATGGAAACTAATAAAACTAGACAAACAGAATATATAAGAAGCTAGAAGGCAAAAAAAATTTAAAACAGGATACCCAAGGAAAAAACCACTAAACATGGGTTAGTAACACAGCTCAGTGGATGAAAATGCTGGCTATGCAAACTTGGTGACCTGAATTTGATTGTTAGAATCCAGCTGAACATGAAAGGAGACTCCTCTGATCTCCACACACACATATACATTGTGACACACACATGCAACCCACATACAACACACCCACATAGAGTAATAACAACTAAAATTTAGAAATACACTACTGAAATTATTCTAAAATATCTGTAAAGCTAAGAATAAAGAATCCATAGAAAAATACATATAAAAGCAAACATACATACATACACATAGAGCTAATCAGGAGAAAAAGCAAACTTTTAAGCTTTTCACAAGCTCTAATGGATATTTTCCAAGTTAAATGTCGAGTGGTGTAACAGAGGGGGATGAAAATCACCCAAACCACACAAGCTTATGGAACCTTTTTCTTATCCACTATGTATATGCTGAAGGCAATGGCTTCATTTAAGTACCCACAGTTATTATTACTGTATTCATTCTTTTCCACGGTGTTTAGCAGAGCTTTCTCAACTCTTTTAAAAAGTATGCTCTAGAGATGATTAAAGAGAAAATATTGAGAAGAAGGAAGGGCAAGTTGGGAGAAAGAAAAAGAAAAGAGGATCCATGGAGGGAATGCCATTGTTCTGTGTGTGTGTGTGTGTGTGTGTGTGCGTGCGTGTGCGTGTGCGTGTGCGTGTGTGTGTGTGTGTTGGGGTTGAGCGGTGGGGGATCCATGCCCCATGGTGTCCATGTGGAGGTAAGAGAACAATCTCTGCTGCCTGGCTTTAATTTCCACCTTGTTCAAGACCTGTCTCTTTCGTTTTCCTGTTGCATATACTAGGCTAGCTGTCCCATGACCTACTAGGGATTCTCTTCTCTTGATACCCCATGTCAACATCAAAGTTACAGAAATACACTCTTTGCCGTTTGGCTTTTTATGAGTTCTGGGAATTCCAACATGTTTTGTATGGCAAGTGCTTTACTCATTTAGCCATTTCTCCAGCTCTTCCACGGGGTTCCTACAGGGAGTTATTTAACTAGTTAGGAATAAATAACAAATCTAATACAAATACTCTGTAGAATGCAGTCACCCAATCCTGCTCTACCTCAATGTGTAGGTGTTAGTTTCTAGAGATAAGATTAGTACTTGTTTACAGAGATGCAGTGTGCCCTAAAGAAACTAAGGATTTGTCTGGACACAAAGCAGAACCCTGGATTGTTAGAGTCAGAGAGAAACTTAGGGACAGTTGTGTTCATTCTGCTGCTACTGAAACACATGTAGAATTCTCTCTGCAAAACGCCTGCTGGACCCTCATTCAGGGAAAGAAGAAAAAGGCTCTGCTTGTCTGGAGTAGTTCCGTTGGAACCTATGCCCTTCCAGTTACCACAGAAAAGCATCACTGTCAGGAAGGCAGATCAGAGCTGCTTCTGCTCTAGATGATAAAACATCATGTTCCCCCATGACAGGTCTTGTTATAGAACAGTAAGGCCCTCTCTCTCAACCCCGAGCTTCACAATATACAGCAAAGGCACAATTTTGCACATTTTTTTGAACATTATTTCATATTTGCTGGGATTTGACAATGGACCTGATAGTTTAACTTATTGGATATCACTGCAGATAGTTTGGTTGATATCAGATGTTTCAGGATAGTAAAGTATGAGAAACTTGACAAAAGTTGGAACTAGGCTGAACACAATCTAGTTGCTCTTTGATATTTTTTCTGATGTTCTATCCATACAAATAATATTACATGAAGTAAGCACAGGTAAAGAAAAAGATATGAATTTAATGGAGAGCAAGGGGGTACATGGGAGAGGTTTGAAGAAGGAAAGGGAAGAGGAAAACTTCTGTAATTATACTTACTTTCAAAAATACTTAAATTTTTGGTCCGCATATGTATGCATCCTTGTGTGTGTGTGTGTGAACATGAGTTATGTGTGTTCAATAGTACATCTGTAAATCAGAGGACAACCTGGAATGTCAATCCTTTTCTTCCACCCAACTCACTAGACCCCAAGCTTCTAGGGATTCTAGGAAACAAGAACTGTCTTATGATGTCTTCAGCTTTTGTGTGGATGTTTGAACTCAGATCCTTATGCCTGCAAACAAGAACTTTTATATTTTGAGCCATCTTCTCGTCCTCTAGGGCAGTGGTTACCAACCTCCCTAATGCTGCAGCCCTTTAAGACAGTTCCACATTGTGGTGACCCCCCAAACATAAAGTTATTTTTGTTGCCACTCATAACTGTAATTTTGCTAGTTATGAATCATAATGTAAATATCTGTGTTTTCTGATGGTCTTAGAGGACCCCTGTGAGAGAGGTTTTCAGCCCCCAATGGGGACATAGCCCACAGGTTGGGAACAGTGTTCCTTTTATAGTTTTTTTTTTTTTTTTAATTTTTGGTTCAGCGACATGGAAGTGCTGCAGAAACCAGTGATCCGGATAATAACACGAACCTTGCTAGAAATGGAAAGATTTAATCAGCATGATTTATTTTCAAAAATTAATGAGTTCTTAGAATTTTTATCAAAAAGCACAAAATCAAGTATCATCAGGCCAGCAGATAAAAACAGAAACCAAGGAGTACAGAAAATTCTTAGTCTTATTGAATTGTTCCTTCTCGAAACACTACCGACCAGAAATTGTGTATAATTAAAATTCAAAAGGTAGAAAGTGTTGGTGACACCAAATACAAAGACACCTTGAAAAGCATTTTCCCTAGAATAAAATCGAGGTGTTGATGAGCCAACTCACACATTTTTTCATTTTCGTTTAGACAGCAGGGCAATCATTAGGTGTGATTAGGATATATTTACTCTCTTTGTTTCATCTGAAACTAGGCATGCTGATGGAGGGAGCACGTTTGAGCTGGAGAACCATGGTGTGCTGCTGTGTTTCCTTCACTTAATATGCACAGTTTGTTTTCCCTGTCAGGTTTTCATTCTCGGATCTTTTCTTAGCTCTTAACAACTAAAAGGATTTTCCAGACATTAAAACAACGGTAACAAAAACATTTCCCGGAAACACCAGGTTGGGTTCTAAACCGCAGAAAGCATTTTTACAAGCAGTGGCCACGGTTATGTTTTAAAAAGCCTCATTTACTCAGGCCCCCCAGGACGCTTTTTGCAAAGAGAACTGACAGCAATCGCCAGCTATGGGGTGTCAAGAGCCGTCTGACCGACCTTCAGAGGAGAGATGCGCGACTGCAGGACGTATCCGTGCACATTTTCTATTTGAGACAGGTTCTTTTCCGACACATGCACCAGTTCTGGACCTCTTACTTCATGAGTTAGCCGAGGTAAGGAATGATCGTGTGGACCGTCCTCATCTTGGTATCGATACTTCTAGGAGAAAGGAAAAGAGAGAAAAGATGCATCAGTCTTGGGAAGGGATGCAGACAGTTTGGACTTGGGGGGACATACTGCATGATAAACTTTTTCAGTGGTCACCATAAACAAGGTCAAAGACTCATAAAACAGTATTAATATTAACCAATACTGATCATTTTTTTTTTGTCTTGAGAATATACTCTATTTCTGAGACAGAAAATTGATAACACATGAGACTGAGAAAATTTATTTCAATGGGAAGAAATATTCCTGCAAACCACCAGAGTAGCTACATAGGTGCTAATACACTTCGGTCATGGGTGGAGGCAAAAATACAGAACAAGACATTAGAACTCTGATATATCTTACTCATTCACCAAATTTTGTTGCACTATCTGTCAAAGATTTAGATTCTCCCTGATAATGAAGAAAAAATTTCCACCCACATAATTTCTATAAGCTTGAAAGGAAAGATAATTGTTCTTTCTTTAGTTCAACTCCTATGAAGAACACTGATTTAGATTTGTTGCATTCTAAGACAAAATATTATTTCTAGGAATTAATCTAGTTTTTAAAGAGCTTTAAAAATCAAGGAAAGAGCCAGCTCAGATGATTCTGACGGCCAAGAGGTAACATTCCCTTCTCTCTTGTCTTGTTTCCCTCACCATCAACCAGTTCTCTGCATTCTCACAACAGGAAGATAAACCTCTGGCAGAGGCCATGGCTGGAGATGACCATTCAGATCTCAAACAGCTTGTAGGAAGAGCAAAGCTCGGGTCAAGAAATAATCTGAGGGAACTCAGCCCTTCTTGAAGGATATTTTTCATCTTGAGTTTCCAAGGGCCTGGGGTTCCATCTCTTGAGTTCTTCCTGTCCTCCTTCAGAGCTGTTCTTCCCTCTGGTGCAGCACACTGTTTCAAAGTTTTGCCCATGGAGGGAAAGAAAACGAGAGCATTCTATATCTGACTCCCAACCCAACTAATCCACTGTTTGCTATTATTGCTTGGTCTGTGTGTCCTACTAATTATACAAAGACATTAGAATCAGGATTCAGGTAATGCCATAGGTGCCTTCTCAAGTTTCACTCTACATCAAATACCTTCCCAGTGGCTCCCTGTTCTTAACATACCAGGTCACTAAAAATCTCTCTTCTTCTGAATAGATGTTCACTTGTTTTTGAGATGAAAAATACGCTGTCTGGGGCATTAGTTTTCAATGAGACTCTTAATTTGACAACAAGAAGAATGCCAGAGTTAGTAATTTACTTTGTTATCTACTCTTAGATGCTGATTGTCAGTATATGCATTTCTGGAGAGTTTTATACAATGTCCAATGCAATCTTAAAGTAAAAAAATAAATTAAAAAAAGAGTAATAATGTCATAATTGTAGTCGATAAAGGACTCTCACATCCTGCTTCCAGTACCATCATTCTTCTGTGATAATTTGACTATTAGTGGAGGCTAAGGTTACTTTTCAATGTAATGAAGTAGAAAGGGGTTGGATATGAGACCGTTTCCAGGTAGCTCAAATGAGAATCTTCTTTCTACTATCTACAGTCCATCGTCCATCTACCTAATGAGATGAAGCCAACTCTGGTGATTTTTTTGAGAGCCTGATAGAAAAGCACCACTAAGATAGCAGCTCAGTCTCCAAGTGGATTCCCTAGTAAGGGGAACAGGGGCTTTCTCTGACATGAACTCGGTGGCTGGCTCTTTGATCACCTCCCCCTGATGGGGGAGCAGCCTTATCAGGCCACAGAGGAAGATAATACAGCCAGTCTTGATGAAACCTGGTAGACTGGTGTCAGATGGAAGGGGAGGAAGACCTCCCCTATCAGTTGACTTGGGGAGAAAATGAGGGAGGGAGAGTGGGATTGGGAGGGGATGAAGAATGGGCTATAGCTGGGATACAAAGCGAATAAATTATAATTAATAAAAAACAAATTAATTAAAAAAGAGAATACATACTGAGACGAATTTTGAACATTTCTGCAAAACTATAAATATCCTAATTCTGTTTTGCAATGGTGTGAATAATTTGGAGGCAACCTCCCTCAGAAGCATGAGTTAACATTTCACACTTATCTTAATCAGTCATGTTTTTTCTGGGAGTAGACAAATCCTATGTCTATCCTATATCTGCTCCTCCCTTTCCATCCTTTCTGACAGAGGCTCTACCACAATCACCATAGCCAGAAAGTAGGAGCTAGTTAGACCCTATCTCCTCTTTCACCCCCTACCATACACGACTTATAGTATAAATAAATTTTATATCTATTACACCATTATTCCCGCAATCCTCAACAGTACCAGAACTGACCATATTTAGGCTCCAATCAGCTCTCTTTTGGCCACAGCACCAGTTTCTATATGAACTGCAACGATGATGTCTTTCCTATCTATGTCCACTCTGCCCCAGCGGACACTCTGAATTTCCAACACGAGGTCCTTAAACTACCCATGGCTGCCATTGCCTACAGAGTTCAAGTTTCCTTCTGTGATTGCCGGCACCATTGTATGAACCAAACCTCAGTCACTTCTGAAATATTTATACTCACCATTATCACCTAAATAATTATGAACTACATTAACATTATAAATCAACTTAAAGTTTTCTTTTAACTGTGGCAAAACATACAGAATAAATTTTTTTTTAAATCTTGACCATTTTTAAGAAAATATGCTATAGACAAGCATGGTGGATGCACGCCTCTGATGCTAGTTCCTGAAAGTCTGAGGCAGAGGAATTGTGGGTATGAGGCAAGCTCAGGATCCTGACAACGAACTACGTCGTAAGATGCTGCCTCACAAAACCAAGATGCATTGTTGAGGACTGTTTCATATGCTCTTAGATTGATTTTAGTATATAAGAGGTGTGTATACCTTTTTCATCTGAAACACGTTCTTGTAGCTCCTGTGCTTGTCATGTTATAATCTTTTATGCTGTATGACTGTTTCCAATTTTCCACCAATCTGTGTTAATTTTCATATTTGAAATCGATTTGGCAGTGCTCAACATCATATCTCAAGTTCCCTAGACAAGTCCTACCCATTATGTATGTTCAACAAATGTTTGCTGAATGAAATTATAAATGTCTTTCGAGGAAGGGGAGGGAATGGGTAGGTTTCAGCTAGTTGAGACACAGAACTACTTTGGCTATTAGATATAACTTCTCTCTTTACAAAGCGTTATAAAACCAGGTGTAAGGAAAATCAGAACCATATTGTTTGATCAACACAAAACAAAGGGAGGGCATCAGATCTCAAATATAATGTGGTCTTGTAATTACTCGCATCTGCTTTTGCTGCTGAGACTTGAAATTGAAAAACATGCAGTTCTGTAGTCAAGAATAATGAAAGATTTTAATTGAGTTATACATTCCCACAGTTAAACTACCACCCACAGTGATGACAACTGTATATGTATAATCAAGTTCTACGGAAGCAAAAAGGGATCAGGATCGACTTGCCCGAAGCTTCCCAGTTTAAAGTGGAATCTCAAATGATATACAAAGAGAATGACTATTCTGTACAAAGCACAAGGCATTCAAAAATCACAAGTTCAAGGCTAGCCTTAATGACATAGTAACCTGAAAATGACAGAAAAGAAAGCACATATATAGGAGAAATTTATTCCAAGAAAGGGAAGTAACAATGAGGTCTTAGTGACTAGTGGAATATTGTCCCCTTACCCAGATCCATAGTAATATCTTCTCAAAGTTCATGTCTGTTCATGTCTTAGGAAGATATCCCTTGGATGATGAAAGATTCCTCTCTCTTGGTGAACCTAGGAGTTACCTGAAAAAACTAACTCTGATATTAAGAACTATACCTGTTGTGAAAAACACATGCCCAAAATGATCACCTAGAAGGGAAACTAAAGAAGTCTGTTGTGGGCCACACCTCAGCCTTAATAGTGTAGAAAATTCAGAGTCATCTTCCATTCTCCAGATCATTGGCTAGTTGCCAATGCCACCAGGGGCACTTTTTGGAGCTTTGTCATGGTGGCAAAGAAGGGGGTTTATTTTCAAATGCCTCTGATTTAAAATCTGTGCCTTTCTTTTCTCGCTCCTTGCCTCAGTATGATCTATTAAAAAAAAAAAAGCTGTGCTTTATAACAAAACAAAAGAAACAGAACCCTTACCCTTTGCCAACAAACATTTCTTCTTTTAATTTTAATAAGAATAATTATGAGAATAAATTAATAATAATGTAATAATTATGAGAATAAAAATGAGAAGCTGGAGTAATGTTACTAGCTATATCAATTTTAATTGAAGCATTTTGTCTCTGTCTTCAGGACTTCTCCCGGGTAAGCTTAGTTTGCCTGCAACACTGGATTCCAACAAATAAACCTTTTATATCTGCAATAATGGGATCAGGGCATCACCTCCTTGGAAGCATTTCTGTGACTGTTAGGAACATCAAGTTTTCTCCTATGTGTATTATTGTATGCCCCTATAAAATTCTACACTGATTCTAATCAGTGAATAACAGCTATACTGTTATTCCTTGACCATGTATCTACAGTCAATTATTTCTTGGAAATCATAGATGGAAACACATTTATCTCTGACATGTCATTGTCTGCATGGCCCAAAATGAGAGAGCATTGTCTGTGAGTTTAATAGAAAAAGCTTTAAATTATCTGATCATTGCTACTTGTCTATCTAATAAAAAAAATCCCACCAAAGCATAACATGAGTATAAATATCTTCATCTCTTTTTGTTTTTAAATCTGCTCCTGGCTGTCACATGAATAGAATAAAATTAAGAAGTCTTTCTAGACCCAGTTTAGAACATTCTACTGATCTTAGTGTGTGAGTTAGAGCCATCCGGAAGTGCCCAGAACTCAGAGGCACATAAGCATGCTTTGTCCAGCAGAGGAGGTTCTCTGGCAGTTTAGAAGGAGGTGCTGTGTTGGCAGACTAGATCACAGTTCATCCACTAGCGAGAAGTCTGCCAAATTCTCATAAACAAACAAAAAAATCTATATTAAACAAAAAGTACTCTAC